GCTTATTACAATCTGCCAAGGCATTATAATTTCTAGGAATATTTAAAATAAGAAATAAATGAGCTTCACAAAATTATTGGTCTACTGAACAGGAATTAAAAAGTAACTGATCTGTATTTATAACTGGATTTACATATCTAAAGTTACAAGAATCATCTTCTTCATTTCATGAAACAATAAAACTTCAAAGAGTGCTGTTTTTCAAGAGAGGTCCTACCTTTCACTGTACAGTCAGGCCAGAAACTGTGTAGCATTGATAGCGTTCTATGGTGTGGGGGTGTTTATTTACCTTTCATTATACAGCCAGGCCAGAAACTGTGTAGCATTCCAGTATACGTCTGTTGTTTCCCAGTCTCCGTCCGACCACACAACGTCAGGTTTATATCTGTTAACAAGTTCATACAGCTCTGGCATTGTCTTTGTCTGCATAAAACGTGAACAAAAATTATATACATGTGCTAAATTTATTTGTCTACTGTAATGGTTCAAAAATGAAAATTAAATTCTACTCCTCAAAAAAAAAAATCTAAAAGATAAAAAACAATCAAATTTATAATAAGATTTATTTGGTGTAGTGTAATTAATTTTTATCAATGTTCTGGGTATCATATTTATAGCATGTGCAGCAAGTTCTATAGAGCAGACCAACAAACAGGAAATTCAAATGGAAATGTGCATACTGTAAAAGCAAATGTTCCAATTTCTAGAATTCAAAACGTAGCTGTCCCTTTTCTTTACAAGTTATAATAACATTTATAAGTAGACTTAGAGTTAGTCATAAGTGCTGAAACAAGAATCTTGCTGATGCAGAATTCTGTGTCATATCCCTTCTGTTGGTTCTTACCCTGACAAAGTCCTGTGTTGTGTAGTTATTGGCCTTGTCTTTCTGATACAGTGGATGAAACCATTCAAATAAGGAATGGTACAGACCAAAATGAATATCAGTCTTATTCTTTATTGAGTCCGCTAATTCTCCTGGAAAAGGTATTTATGAATGAACGTTTTATTCAACATACATGTTTCTAAATTAAATAAAAACTAGGGCTGGGTATTGACCACAAATTTTGTATTGTGATATATTGTGATATTTTTAACTGTATTGCAATATGTACAGTTATTTGACCAGTTCCGAATAAGAAACCGATTCGGCAGTGCTATAAATATACTAGGCATTATTTCAAAATGCAATTGTTTTATCAAGATAGTTCGATGACTTGTGGAATTAAATATTGTTTCATAAAAGTTCAGCCTTCCCTCAAAAAAATTTATTTCGCAAGTTACCATAGGTGTCCATTTTACCAGTTACGAATAAGCCGACGAGTTCCGGATAACCTAGAAATTCTTATTCAATTCAACCCTAAATTAAAAAATATACGCCCAAGACGTTATCCATTGGCATGCCCAAGAAAAGTTAAATGAATTGCTTACCAATAAATTATTTGTATTTCTAAAGGTTGAAAAGAAACTAGAGGTACTGTGGGCACTGACTGAGCTCATTTTAATGATTCCCCACACCTCCTTTATGATTATTTATGACAAAATCCATGTTTTGCTCCGGGAGACCCAAGATAGGTGTCAGATCAAAAAAGTAAAATAAAAGGTCACAATGTAATAAAGAATCAGTGAAAGTTTCATTAAATCGTATTCAGTGGTATAGGAGGAATTGCGGATAAGAGATGGATATACCTTTCAATATTACAAAGAATGGCAATATCTATGTTTTTCTCAGGGAGCCCAAATTATGTGCCAGATCCAAAAATAAAATAGGTGCATTTTGTCACTGTTCAAGAAAGATTCTGTGAACAACTCATTAAATTCTGTGAAGCCTCATTAAACTTCGTTCAGTGGCAGAAGAGAGGTTGTGGATAAGAAATGGATACCCCAGAGCGTATCAGACGGACTGACATACAGAGAGACGGACGTACCGACGTACAGATAAATGAATGGACAAACATTCCATTACTACATACCCCTTCTTCCTGGTTTTCAAGCGGGGGTATAATAAGTCAAGTTTACAATGAAGAAAACAATGAAGAGTGAATTTATAACAGTGTTTAAAATGGGTATTCGGAACTGGTAAAATAAGAGCACGAAAATATTTCGATATCTTCCAGTGTTCTAAATATTTATTTTTGACAAATTTTTAGTATATGTTAGAGTACATATCAAACTTACTTTTGATACCTGGAACGTTGTCTTATGTGAAAAATGTATGTATCTACAGAGCTTTTTTTGCAGACTTAATTAAGCGTCGCGGTGATTCAGATTTGTTGCCTTGTAAAAGTATGTCGACTGTTTCAAGTATGATTACGAAAACAAACTGACGGCAAAAAATCAAAACTTCACATAATTCTAACATTCATAAATAAGCCTTCCTACCATAGATAACAATTTATTTTTACACCATTGAATTTATTAATTATCAGTCCTTAAATTACTAATTATTCGGAACTGGCCAAAATCCGGAACTGGCCAAACGACTGTATTGCAATATTTTCAACATTATTAAAATGGCATTTTCTTATGAAATTAACTTTAATTTACATGAAGAACATACATAACTATGATAAGTTAGCAAAAGGAAAAAAAATCTTGTTGATTTATTAAAGCTGTGCTCTGGAATACACACATAAACTAGCATCTTTCTTACTGTTTGGCTTTTGAACAACTCTTCTTATGTAAATTATTTTTATATTTAATGATAAAATTCCTTAGTTTAAGCATTTTGCCGATATATCGATATTACAAAAATGTATTGCAATATGATATTTTTGTCCTTGTACTGCAATATACTGAAATACATGTATCAATAATTTTGCCCATCCCTAATAAAAACACACTTTGGTGTCCAATACAAGTCTTAATGTGTACGTATTATTTATCTTTCATGTCCATTTCTCAAACTAAAGAAGAATATATTGATGTGCTGCACTTGGATAAAAAATTTGGCATTTTTTCCAACAAATTATGACCGTTAATAAGTTAATGTTCCATAAGTCTACTAGTCATGATCTATTCAAAACATTATAAGAAAACATTAGTTCTTTGTGAACTAGCCTGCTTTGTGAGATTACATATTACAGAGCACCAGTTCCACTGACCCACAATATCTCTGTTAGGTCCCACATCCCCAGAGTTCCAGTTGAAGGAATATTTGGACGGCCAGTTACAGAATCCCTCATGATGCTTGCTCACAAACACAATGTACCTACAGGTAAAATTATACAATTCTGTTATTGTTGGACTATGTAAAAAAAAAAAAAGAAACTAAAGAAATGATGACAGATTTTCTTAATCTTGTGATAACAAAAAGTAAAGTACTTTGCAAAGTGATGTCTCATTATCGTTCATTCTACTTCTGGACAATTTCTTAATTAAAAGCAAGTCAATATAAAGTATATCGAAATTCTTTATATTCTATATTTTTTAAGATAGTTTTATTTTACTTGGCTCCTGAGGCCTGGAAGGTTTGTGCCCATTGGTCAGCATTAAAAAACTCAGCAGTGAATTGGGGTGCAAAATCAGCGTAGGTGAAATCTGGCGGGTAATTCTTCTGCATAAAATCTACAACACCAGGTACCTTCTGTCCCTTCCATGTCCACCAAAACCACTCTGATGAATAACTGGGAACAGAAAAAACTCCCCAGTGGATGAAGATTCCTATTTTCGATTTATCATACCAATCCGGTAGAGGACGAGAGTCGAGAGAAGCCCAGTTTGGTTCATATTTGGCACCGAATGCTTCAAATATGTTAAAAATAATAAAGAGAGATATGTAAATGACATGAAACTGCATTGTTATTCAACCACAGACGCAGTCAGTCATGTGTTTGTTTCCGTCACATGATCTTCTAATAATATTTTGAATCTCGAGCCCGTAAGTATAATCAGGGGTTGTAAGCATTGTATTTTGAACTCATTTTGTCTCCCGCTTTCACTGTCTGTCCGTCTGTCTAGCTGTTTTTCTATCTACATGTATCTGTAAAATTTTTATTTCCATGCATTATCTCAAAAAGCCTTTGAACTTTTGGAATGAAATTTTACCTAACTTGTTGGTGGACAAAAGACAAATTGCAACTATATGGTTGTTAGCTGTCATACATTACCTAAAACACGATCCGGTGCTAGGCTAAATTGTTTACAAGGTCTTTCTAACGAACATAGAATTTACGACTTCTGACTTTTAGCGAGGTAATATTAATTGAAACTAATGTAACTGCAACTTAATTGTCAATAGCATGCCTCAGTAAACAATTACATTTGTACATTAACATTGATGATTTACTTTTCTAAACATGCACAAAGTTTGTCAACTTTCTGCATTAAAAACATCGTAATGGGGACTGAAAACGCTTAAAAAGTAATGTTTTTACAGATAACGTTTTTTCTTATTCAAACATGACTCGCAACATATTTTCCTCCAATTCTCAATGTAACGTCGAAAATGCCACGTCTTACTGAAAGTCCAAGGTTAACTGAGAATTGTATTACATGTGTATACTTGACATAATTGAAAAACCTTGGAGTTTTTACTTTAACCACAGATATTTCTCGCGAATAAAGAGTGATTCACAGTATATAAAATGCATCTTTAAATCTAAAGATAAAAGTTACTTACCCCAAATTTTCGGTACTTACATTTAGTCATGCATCCACTGACTGCCAGAACACTTCGGATCCGCTTTGATACAAAGTTTATATAAGTTGGAGTTAGAGAGGTTCAGATTTCTAAGAGGTTTTCAATTAGGTCCTGTCAAGTTTTTAACAGAGGGATCAGTTTTTGAAGTGTTATTTTCACAGTTCTCCAATTAACATTTTCGATATTTTTGATATCTGGAGATTGTGGAGGCCAAGTCATGGTGTTAATACCATGTAAAGGGTATTCCAAGGTGCTTAAAGAATTAAATTGAAGCTTCGATAAAAAATGAAAACTTAACATTGCATGTGTGACTACTATGAAAATAAATCAGTTATTGTTTAGATAAGCCCAAATAATAGGCAAGCATCTTAAGGAATTTAAAAACTCATATCTGTTTGAATCATTGTTCCACTAAGTGGGAAAAAACCCGGCATCAGATATAATTCTTAGGTAAAAATGCAATTGTCTTTCATTTGATTAAACATAGACAAAAATTGTATGTTTAAGCTTGGTTTGTACATTGTACATGTAGGTATGGTAACTTACTGGTATATATATGTCTGCATTTTTCAAAATTTATATTTCAGTGTATTGAATAATATATGTATAGAATATAATTTGCATATTATATGTTGATTATTCCATTAGGAAATAGTTTATTTCATCAGTTTCCAACTTAAGTTCAGATGAAAATTGGCTGTATTTAATTTCCTGAATGGTTTTTATTTTAAACTTTTCATTTCCGACATTTTTAAGTTCTCGTTTCCGGCATTTCTAGGGTACTTAATTCGGCACTGAGAGCGGAATTTAAAATTTCACTGAAGGAAAATTTAAAGAATTAATCATTGAAATCTGAATTATGCGTTTTGCTTAAAGTATCAATGAAGAAAAACAGAAAGATTTCTCCCCTGAGGCACGTGTAAGTGATATATGTAAATACGATGAAAAAAATTATGTTTATTGAAATCTTTTAACTAGACTTGTTATTTGGAAATGCCTTTTCCACTTAATTGGTAAACATTACAATTGCAAATAAAAGTTGTCGGAAATGAAATTTTAAAAAAGTGTTGGAAAAGCTCTGCGAAACTCCGGAAATGAAATACAGCGGAACAATCAAAATGAAGTAAACCGCTAACTCATAAACTGAATATCCAAGCTTACTGTGTCTACAACTTAACCCAGAGAAAGCCATTTAAACCAAAGCATTATATAAGATTTATGTTCCCGTGGAAAAGGAACCTTCAATATTAATATTGTGACAACTTTCACAGCGAAGGTCTTAATCAATCCACAATGTTATTGATAATGGAATCAAAAAACAGATGTACAAGTAATGTAGATATTGAATTGAATTATAAACAAATTAACACATGTAGATATGTACAATTTTGTATTTTTTTTTTTACATGTAAAATATTAATTACAATATACAATATTTAAGTTAAAAAAATTATACAATATGTTACTTTAAAAATTACATAATTAATATCAAATTGAAAAAAATTACACAATATGTTCTTCAAAAAATTACACAATATGTTATTTAATAAATATCAATGTATACATTAAGCACATAATTAATGACTAATTAATAAGTCATTAATTTCTCCTGCCGCAGCAAGAAGTGCATCTAAAGAAGTTAAGGATTCGGGAGAAAACACCTCGTCTGGGCTGTATAAAGAAAAAGAAAATATGTTTGAAAAAGAAACGAATTCTATGCCTTTTTCTGCTTCAGGGAAAACATGGTATAATTCAAAGTGAGTCTTACCAAGAAAACATCCCTTTTAAAATAGGCTTTCTTCTGTTACAACATGTTGATTCATGCAATGGTTAGGAAAACCCATAAATAATACTGAGTAAGATATTAAGTTTACATTATGAGAAATACTCACCTCAGCAACTGTTGCAAATCGGTTTTCAGTTGCTGCCATAGAAAATGCATTTCGTATAGATGTAGTTGACATCTTCCTGGCCTATGGCAAATAGGGATACAAATTTAAAACGTTAATTTTGAATTAATATTTCAATATCTTTTTTATAACTAAAATATTATTATTATTTTTGCATACCTCCATCTCCATTGTCCTTGACAGGATCATGTTGACAGCAGGGATGGAAGCACTGCTCGTCTAAAACATTACCAAAAAAAAAAATATTATCATATCGGTAAAATCATGTAAGATTACTTATTGTTGTCAATCTGTATAAATTTCGAATGAATAGAAATTCTTTGACGATCAAAACATTGATGAATTTGAATAGTCTTACTTTCTTCCTCATTGTTTCTAGGCAAAATAACAAAAAAACATGTATTTTTAAAAAAATCTTTGTGAAACACTACCCCCAACCCCTGAATGAGCACTCATGGTGAAGGTCAAAGTTTCTCAAATACAAGCAGAATCCAAGGTCCAAAGGTCAGTATTACTGGTATCCAAAGAAAGGTCTCTGCAAAAGGAATACACTTGTAAAGATGAAACCCTTGTACCAACCATTCAGAAAGTATGGTCAAAGTTAAACAATTTTTCAAGAGTACAGGTCATATAGTTAAAATATATTATAAATTCTTAAATTTACCTTTAAATATGTCTTAGAAAAGGTCGATATTTCAAGAAGGTCAATTTTTAAGAAAGGTGAAAAAATGGTGGTACACAAAGGAAGGTCTTACCAGAAGGCACAAAAACATATGTGAAATACTAAAGTCCTAGGACCAAAAATTTAAAAATTGTGATTCAATTTCTTTGAAAAGAGGATTGAATTTCAAGGGCAAAGTCAAAATGTCTGAAAACCAGGAGAGCTGAAATGCACAAGTAAAATATAATAGTCCTTGCTCTGACCATTCAAAAAGAGATGGCAAAGGTTAAATTATTTCAAAAAAGGTCAAATTCCATGCATGGTCATGAATATTTATGTATTTGCATCCAACAAAAAATCCATTAGAAACACACTTGAAATATAGAGGCCATGGCCCCAACCGTTCAAAAGTTATAATTTATTCAAGGTTAAGGTTAAGTAAACATTCCAAAAGTCGGTCAAACTTAAAGGCCAAGAGGTGAAATATCAAAGAACCACAACAGAAGGTCTTGATACAAGGCATACAAAAGTTATAAGAAAGATTCAAGTTTTATGGACAAAAGACAGAATGGCCAGACAGACGGACAGAAAGACCAAAAATCTTCCATTACGGTAGCATAATTTTTTGATTTGGAAACATAAGTTAGCTCCTGCTTCTTCAAGACATTGCCTGACTAAAATAGAAAATCATAGCAGTTATCATGTAATGAATTTCTTCAAAAATTTATTTAGTAATAACCGTAGATATACGACTGACAAAAGATATTCTGCTCTGTATTACCTGGGCCATTGTTTCATCATTCCTGCCCTTCTCGGCAGCCGCTGAGAAGGCATTTTGAATAGCCGTTTGGCTCATCTTTTTGGCCTAAGAAAATAGCAAAGATTTAAACAAACTTTAAAAATCATTAGGGAAATATAAAAGATATTAATAGCTAGTTTTTAGTTAATCAAGGTATAAAAATATGTCCGGGTATCCTTGATTATCTTTTTAGTTACAAAATAGGGTGTGTGTGGGGGGGGGGGGGGGGTGTCGTCGCATACCTGTAAAATCCGCTTTTCATCCAACGGGCTTTTGAACAAAATGGAGGACATTCTTCGTGCCTATAGTATAATCAAGAACAATGGTTTGATAAAAGCATGTCTTCTCATATTGATAAAATATATAAGACGAGAAAAGACATAGAGAAAAAAAAACAGCCAGGGGACAAGAGGGAATTATACCCCTTTTATGTATATGAACACAGTCATTGTATGATTACTAGTACTTCGTATTGCAAAATACAAATATTGGTATTATTAGTTCTTCTGCTAATGTTTTTGAAGTTAATACAAAACAATACAAAACAAAATAATTAATGTATGCTAGAAATTTGATTTTTATCAATTCTTTCTATTCCGTCCTTCTTGTTAACACATACAAACTATAATTATAGTGCCTTACCTCTGCTAACATCCTGTTTTCCTCCAGAGCAGAATCAGGCACGGACGTGGTCGACTTGAACACAAAATAAATGATGGTGTTGGTAAAGATGGTATAATATATCAAAAGACGCCAATGAATTAATTTGTAACTCTAACTAATAAATATTTTTTATGTTTTCTGGATTTTCACTTGGTAATGTATGTACATATAATCATTATATTTTTTATTCCGTACAAATAAAAAACGAGAAGAAAAAAAAAGCAAGCGAACAAATAACATATTGTATCCCCTGCAGACCCACCTCAAATTCTTCATTCGAGCTCGAGAGGACAGCTAGAGCGTCTCTATATATACTGGAGCCGCTAGATGAAGCCTATAAACGTGAAACAATGCACTATGAATGACTATATGTCATATAATGAGTACAGCATTTACTTAATTTATAAGGGTCATACATGTAGCCGCCGAAACCGAGGAGGAGGGGGATAACAAGCCAACCCCCCCCCCCCAATCTGCCCCAAACTATTTTTTGCAAAAGATAGACATATTATTATAAGCCTTGAGAATTGTGGTTCAGTTCTGCCAACTCCTTTTTTGTTGCTGGATGAACCCCTACTCCCTTTCAATTTGCTTCTTACGCCTTTACATTGATGGTACCCTTACCAATTTTTACTTTAAACAAGCTAATTCAGAGAATTTGTGTCCCCTGCTTAAGGAAAAAGTAAAACATGCGCAGTTCGGGGGAGAGTTGGATCCCCCTCACTGAATTTGTAGAATTATTAAATGTATACATGCATGTATACTGAAGCAAATAAAATATACCATTATGGATATAAAGATTTAATTGCTTATTCTTTATCATGTGTATAGAATATTCTTTTTATATGGAATATTTATCACACTGTAATGATGATTTTATGAGTTTCACTTTGTACAAGCCAGACCTCGTGAATTTTTCATTTCGCGTGCTGAATACTATTATTTCGTAAAAAAAAAAAAAGTATTTCAAAAAAAAAAGGTTGTACGCCCGGGACTTGAACTAGGTCTCACATGTGAAGCGAGAAACATACCACTAGACCACGGAATCGCTTTGCATAGAGTAAAGTATATGCAGAAGTGAAGTCACATACATGTATATATTCATGTTCGGTATTGTCAAAATTTTACACAATCCATGGTGTTTGATTTATTTAACCTTTATCAAACAGTTCTAATAGATGTAATAAGAACATAAAGTCCGCCGAGAACCTGTTTTATACGCAATAACTCTCCTCATACCCTGTGCTAAAAATAGCGACATGTAATACTATAAATACTAACAAAACAAACGGAATGGGGCACTTTGGAAGGGGTGAGAGAGGTCCTAGGGAGTTTTGGTATAAAATTACATTGAATAAGCTCAAAATCTTCTTGAAATATCGCCCGGAAATGATAGTGTTACACACAGACAGAATGTAAATTTACGACTTTGACCTTTTGACCTCAAAATCAATAGGGGTCTTCATTAGGCAACAGGGAGTTGTTATGTAAAATTTCATTGCAATAGCTCAAATGGTTCTGAAGATATCGTGTGGAAACGAAAGTGTTATAACAGACAGAATTTGCGTATTTATGACCTTGACCTTTGATCTATTGACCTTAAAATCAATAGGGTTCTTCTTTAGTCCATAAGGAGTTGCTATGCTAAATTTCATTTGCAAAAGCTCAAAGGGTTCTTGAGATATCGTGTGGAAACGAAAGCGTTACAGACAGACAGAAAGACGGACGGACAAATCCAAATTAATATCCCCCACTTTTCAAGTGGGGGACAATAAATTAAACATTCAGATTCTGTAAAAACATAGCTTTTGTGTTTGAAATATACACGCATGTAATAACTGATTACTAGTACATTACACATGTTATTTAATTAAATCCATCAGTGACAACTTATATCATTTCATTAAGTAGAGAATATATCATTATTGTCCCCCGCTTGAAAAGTGGGGGATATTAATTTGGGTTTGTCCGTCCGTCCGTCTTTCTGTCTGTCTGTAACGCTTTCGTTTCCACACGATCTCTCGAGAACCCTTTGAGCTTTTGCAATGAAATTTAGCATAGCAACTCCCTATGGACTAAAGAAGAACCCTATTGATTTTGAGGTCAAAAGGTCAAAGGTCAAGGTCATAAATAAGCAAATTCTCTCTGTCATAACACTTTCGTTTCCACACGATATCTCTAGAACCATTTAAGCTATTGCAATGAAATTTACATAACAACTCCCTGTGGCCTAATGAAGACCCCTATTGATTTTGAGGTCAAAAGGTCAAAGTTCAAGGTCGTAAATTTGTACATTCTCTCTGTGTGTAACACTATCATTTCTGGGCGATATTTCAAGAAGATTTTGAGCTTATTCAATGTAATTTTATACCAAAACTCCGTAAGACCTCTCTCACTCCTCTCAAAGTGCCCCGCGCCGTTTGTTTTATTAGTATTTATAGTATTACATGTCGCTATTTTTAGCACAGGGGCATGATGAGAGTTATTGCGTATAAAACAGGTTCTCGGCGGACTTTATGTTCTTATTACATCTATTAGAACTATTTAATATAGGCTAAATAAATCAAACACCATGGATTGTGTAAAATTTTGAGAATATCGAACATGAATATATACATGTATGTAAATTCAGTTTTGCATATACTTGACGCCATGTAAAGCGATTCCGTGGTCTAGTGGTATGTCTCTCGCTTCGCATGTGAGAAGTCCCGGGATCGAATCTCACTCGATCCTTTTTTTTAAAAAATACTTTTCTTTTTTTTTTTTACTAAATGATAGTATTCAGCATGTAAAATGAAAAATTTATGAGGTTATAAAATCATCATTACAGTGTGATAAATATTCCATATAAACAGAATCTTCTATACACATAATAAAGAATAAGCAATCAAATCTTTATATGCATATTGACATACAAGTACTCAGTATTTTATTTGCTTCAGTATACATGTATACATTTAATAATTCTACAAATTCAGTCAGGGGGATCCGACTTTTTCCCTAAGCGGGGGACATGAATTCTCTGAATTAGCTTGTTATTTTTGTGTAAAAGGAAAGAAGATATATTTTAGTTATTATCTAAAAACAACACAGATATTAGTCTAGGGTATTCTTAAGAATGAAGACACAAATATCAAAATTTGTGTCTGACCCTAAAACCCTACATCCCCACCCCCCATACTTAGTATAATTAACATAACTTTTTATATGGTTAATCCTCTGATTTTTTGTAACATGACCTATCTGCTTGTATTTTGCATTCAACTTTCGTCGCCAACATTAATTTATATAGTTCCAATATTTTACCTCTGCATTTTCACCCGATGTCCCTTGAAAATCATTCATGTTGCTTGTTTACTGCTATTCGCTGGTCTAAAATAAAATAAAGTATGACATATCATAATATTTATAGAGCTAAAGGGAAATTCGATCTGATCTTATATTTTTTCTATTTTAATCGATACAAGTTAATAATAATTTGCGTACATACTTCTACTTACTAGTATACTCACGGTGAACGATTTATATGTGAAGTGGAATTCACGATTTCGACTGACTGATTTCTGTCTCTGTTTCTGGAAGAAGAAAAAACAATTAGCTAATGAGCTAAACATACATGTATCAATGAATTATCTTGCTGTAATGAATATAACATCTAAAACATTTCTACCTTCGACAAGTTGTTGTCTGTGAAGCAATCCGAGACGAGATTTCTATTGTGACGTCATTCCATAGTGACGTGTCACCCAGGTTTAAGTATGAACGATAACTCTTTTTTTTTCGCAGGAATTTTTTTAACGGTTTCTATTTCTTTTCCCGATTTCATGGGGTGTTAATACGATAATGACAAATGTTTGAACAAGGACTGTTAGAAAACAAGGAGTTAAAATTGATATTTTTTTCTCAAAGCATATTTAAAATTTTGTTTATTTCTACTGACATTGAAATAAATACCATTTGCTGTCATGAGACAATGG